TGTTGATGTCCATGAGTCGAAAATTATGAACACTTCTACCATAGTTACTCAAAGTATTCTCAATTGTCGAAGTCTATAAAGTCAAAAACTAGAGCTAGGAATATAAGAAGGGATGGAGAGTTGGTGTGTTCTTCAAATTGGATACTCTAAAGTAATGAACTCACAAACACTAAAAGTTGTTAATTAGGATATGTTAGATGCACAATACTTGCCACATATGATGTGATCTAGGAAAATAAGAATCAATGTTAATTTTAAATTGTAAAAATACCAAAATATAATGGTTAAACTGTAAAAATACCAATATATAATGATTTTTACTTTTATTGTCCTATATATATTATTTTCAACATGAGAACAAATAAATTTAGGGGTATTCATAATCGGATATCTAATGTTTTTTATAGAAACCATTCAATCCAAGCATCCACCTAGATATTAGATATCCTCAACCAATCCAAATCCAATTAACATTAGTCAATTGAACCGAACCGATCCAATTACACATTGAATTGGGTCGTTTATCCATTGGATATTTACTTTGATTATCTGGTATATCTAATTGGATCCATCCAATGGATATCCAACTTTTATCTAATTTTACATCCAATTACAACCGATCAAAATATCATAGATATTTTCAAAAAGAACATCCATTTCACATATAAATTTTAAAGATTCAATAAAAACCAAAATATGATAACGATCAATACAACTGATCTATATATTACAACCGATCAAATATGATAACGGTCGTTATCCAATGGATATCCAACTTTTATCTAATTTTACATCCAATTACAACCGATCAAAATATCATAGATATTTTCAAAAAGAACATCCATTTCACATATAAATTTTAAAGATTCAATAAAAACCAAAATATGATAAAGATCAATAATATTAAAAAAAAAATCAAAAGTGCAAATTCAACCAAAATGCAACAATCCATAGTTGCATAATAGTTGGATGATAATTGGGTATATATATTAATAATTGAATAAAAATCGGGTGATAATTGGATATAATCGATGATAATCAGATATATTCAATTAAATGATAATTGGATATCCAATTGAATCGGATCTTGAATCGGTTCAATTTAGGATCGGATCCGGATGTTCATTCAAAAACCGACTGATCGAGTTTGGATGTTGAAATTTCAAATCGATGTCATCGAATTGTTATTGGATAACAATGTTTGAATTTGATTCGTCTTGCACGCATATAAAAACAATTCCGTATCGGGAAAAAAAAGTTTTTGGCGAAAGATAACGGGATACGGTCCATAAAACCGACGTGGACACAACATAACCACCAGAACAGCAACTGTCGTCTTCTTCACTAGCTAGCTCATAATCACCACAACCACACCAATATATTCATACGAATTTCCAAGGAATTCGAATTCCAAACCTTTTGTATTATCCTCTACAAACAAAACCAAACAAAGTAAAGTTCGCCGATGACATACTTCAGTTGCAAGAACTAAAATGGCGTTAACAACTCCGATTTCTTCACCATCACAGTTAATTCATTTACCAGTGGGTCATCGGCCATCTCCGTCGTTGTACGTTCCATTTAGGGGATACACTTTGATCCGGTCAAAATTCCAAGTGATCGCTCTGCGGAACACTGGGAATTCGTCGTTTCCGGTTCCACCGAAATTCTCGTCGACTGTTAGGTTTAGGTGTTATGGCAAATCGACGGAGGAGAGAGAGGCCGACACGTTAACAAGTGACAACGATGACGATTCCCGTGAAAACACTCATCAGAGTCCCAATAATGTGGAGAAGGCGGAGGACGGTGGTTCTCGGAGGAATGTATCGTCTTTGTCTGATGCTCTAAACCTTGGGATTCGTGAACCGGTTTATGAGGTCTGTTACGAAATTATCCAATTCCATTTTTGCTTCAATTGCAGTTTAGGCAGGGGAGATTGATATACCTAAAATCACTATATCCTAATTCTTAAGTGGCAGTTTAGTTTAGCTTATTTCATCATGAACTTCATCGACTATTCTAATAGAGTTGTATGTTTATTCCTCTAAAGGTTGTGGAAGTGAGTTCAAGTGGAATGGTGTCGACCAGAAAAATCAATAGACGGGATCTACTAAAGTCAAGTGGTGTGTGGAATGTTCTAATAACATAACTTTTGCTATTCCAGTGAACAAAATTGTAGCTGTTACTTGCCATTCTCTGTTCAATCTATATAGCACTTTTCAAAAATCTATGATGTTCAAGCTTCTTCATATGCACATACAAGCTATTCCTAATTGCATTTCACCTTATTAATACTTGTGATTAATAATACCACAACATCTGAGTTGAGATTGACTGAGATTACTTTCTCTGCATCTTCACTAAAATGAGGTTTTGGTTGCAGGTCTCCGCCCTCGAGACATTCGCAGTGTTGATCCTTCACTATGGTTGACCAACACAATGCCTTCATTACTGGTATGGCTTCAACTCAAATTATCATCTATGGTGTTTTAGTTCATGCCTAAGAAAGTCAAAATCCTGTAGCCTCTTTCTTCATCTCCATTATGAGATACTCCATCTATCCATTTGCTGCCATCAGCCATAATTGAATGCTTTTAGGGCACCTACCTAGTATACCTAAGGTGAAATGAAATTGTCATGCTGAATATCTCTTCTTATTTGAAGAAGATTTGAAACTGCAAGATAGATCATGGGAATAATCGACTCGTGAATGACTTATAATTGCATTTAGGCTCTCAAGTTATGATCCATTAGTAGTTCTTTTTAGTTTTTTTTACCACTTATATGACGTGTGTGGTTGATGTGTAGAAGAATTTTGGGTGTTTTGCAGGTTCGCGAGAATGCCATACTATTAAATTTGGGGCCATTGCGGGCAATTGCAATGCAAGAAAGTGTGTTTATATTTAATTACAACAGGTAAGCATTGTTTTCTTCCATATCTTGCGAAATCAAAGCTTAAAGAGGTGATTAACAGTGGTATTTTGTGGTTTATTTATGTTAGGAGAGCAGGGAAAGCTTTTATAGATGCATTATTACCTCGATTAAATCCTAAAAGCAATAATGGAGGCCCTGTAATGCCCTTTGAACTTGAGGTTGGTGTTTGACTGATTGACTGATTTCTCTCCATGTCTAGAAAGAATACTGGAGTTTTACAACAAGTCTCAACTTGATATTTCAGATAGTTGAAGCTGCCCTGCATTCGCGAATACAACGGTTTGAGGATAAACTGATGGAGTTAGACCCACGTGTGAGTATGGAAACATAGTGAGTATATGTAATTATCTTTCAGTTTATAGCAAGATCATATTTATAACTTTTGGGGTTGATGAGAAGTTTTTTCTTTCTGTATGTATGTGTGTATTGTTCAGGTTCAAGCTTTACTTGAGGTTTTGCCAAACAAGTTAACTGCTGACATATTGGAGCAACTTCGTATTAGCAAGCAAACCTTGGTATATATATATATATATATATATATATATATATATATATATATATATATATATATATATATAATTGGAGTTTTTTTTATGGCATTGAAGGTTGAATTGGGATCGAAAGCAGGGGCACTGAAACAAATGTTGTTTGATATACTTGAGGATTCTCATGAAATACGTCGCCTTTGTATAGTGGGAAGAAACTGCATCCTCGGTAGAAACAATGATTTGGAGTGCTCTGTCCCACAAGAAAAGCAGATAGCCGAGGGTACTTACTTGTCACATATTTTCAAACTAGATGCCCATTCCCCATTATTATTGACTGTTGAATATGCTAATTGTTGGAGTGATTCTCATTTCTCACATGCAGAAGAAGAGGAAGAAATTGAGATGCTACTGGAAAACTATCTTCAAAGGTAGCTAATTCTGAACCACTTCCACTTGAAGCCCAGAATTGTGATCTACTTATTATTTATGTATGTGTGTCTGTGTGGTTGCATTTGCAGATGTGAATCATGTCATAATCAAGCAGAAAGGCTTCTTGAGTCGGCAAGAGAAATGGAAGACTCCATATCTGTTAACTTAAGGTTTTGTGATCTTCTGCTACTTTTGTCTGTCTGTGTTGTTGAGGTATTTTTAATATTATTATTAATTACTAAATTTTGTTATCAGCTCTCGGAGGCTTGAGGTGAGCAGATTTGAGTTGCTTCTTCAGGTAGGGACCTTTTGTGTTGCGGTTGGTGCTCTTGTTGCAGGTTAAAATTCTCCATCCTCTATTCTATAAGTTTTTTCTTTTCAATAATAAAAACACACTCACTTTATGTTTGTTTTTTTGTTGTATTTGTTATTTGTATTATTGTAGGTATATTTGGCATGAATCTAAAATCCTACCTTGAAGAACATGTGGTATACTATTTTTTACTTTTCTTTATTCTAATCATATGGTTAATGGAAAAATCAAATCATATGTCTTATTTCTACCATATATATGCAGTTTGCATTTTGGCTTACAACAGGAGGAATCATCTTTGGTGCTGTGGTGGCGTTTTTCGTCATGTACACGTACCTCAGAACAAGGAGAATACTTTAGGCTTAGTTTGCAAAGAATGTACTAAGTTACAACCGTTTCATCACATAAACTCAGATATTATCATTTCAGACTTGCAACAAGGAATTACCATTTTTAGCCTCACCTGTCCAAATCAAGACATGATGCAAGATGACAAAACTCTCAAGTCTAGTACTGTACTTCCCCGAGAAGATATTGCTGATTTGGATCTTTCATATTCTTGTGGATATAATTTATTTATTTATTATGTGAGGAGGCGATACTGTATCTATCATTGTTAAAATGTTAATGCTTGAGTGTGAAATACTTCAATTACTGTTGAATCATATTTTATACATAAATAGAATTGGGGACAAAAAATAAAAGCAAAATCATCAAAACAAATAGACAAGACATAAGAGTATCCAGGGTGGGCATTGATCAAGATGAGGATATCAGAAATAACACAAAATGAGGGCCCAAAATTGCTGTCAAATGGGACCAAAGAGATTTCAACAGATTGGCAAATAAAAGTAATATTAAAAAAATAATAATAATCCAGATTAAGACATGCGCATATGCATTAATGCATATTCTCATTTGTTTGGTAGCAAAAGAAAAAGAAAAAGAAAAAGAAAAAGAAAATCACGGACCCAGTCCAATAAGATGTACAATTGGTTTGGGATCATCATAAATCATACCAATCCAAGCAAATCCCCCTAATACATAAATTGTACAAAGAATATGCATACAGCCTTAAGAAAATTGGCAATGTTTTCCAATAACCTGATGCACAAAATCCCCATGCCACGGTCAAAAATATCAACTGCTAAGCCCAGACAACTGAAATGTAAAAAAACAAAACAAATAAATGTATAAGATAACTTTTAAATCAAAACCTAAAATGATAAAATAGTTACCTCAAGAAGCTTGTTTTGATGGTGTCTTTGAAACTCCACCAATAGCTATGTTCCCAACTCCAGCCTCCATAGCTTCCCTCTCATGTTTCTCTTTACTTTTCTCACAGCTCTTGTTATCATCATCAACAACATCAGCCTTGGGAGTAAGGACCCGAGGTCCACCAGTGAACCATGAATGACTAAGGCATTGAGCAGCTGTAGGCCTTTTCTCAGGGACAAAATCAAGAATAGGAACAAGAAAATCAGCCAAATCAGTCGCCTCTTGTTCACTAAACTCATATTTCTCCTTAAGCACCTTATGCAAAGGCCAAAAACGCAATCGCCTTATATGCCTCAAATCCCCATGTCTGTTAAAAAACTCACGTGAGTATCTCCCACCTAAAGCTATCTGCAAAATCAAGCTTTTTCATGTTATAAACCTTAAATATAAATCATCAAATATCCATACCCACCCAAACCCAACTCACCTTTCGAGGCATCATTCCAAGAAGTTCCATCATTAGAGCCAAATGATCCTGTAAAAAGTACATACCGTGTCAATATGTCATAACTCATTATATACTCACAAGTCACAACAAAAGTAAAATATTAAAAAACTTACCTCATCTCTGTCATAATTGTCACCACTATGAGGATCAAAGAGGACATCACCAGTTGCAAGCTCGAAGCAAATGCAAGCAAAAGACCATAGATCAGCAGAGGTTGAATATTTGGATCCCAGTAGAACCTCTGGACACCTGTATTGCCTAGTTTGTATATCTCCAGTAAATTGTTTATAAGTCCAACATGCGTTACCAAAATCAACCAACTTGCATTTAACATCAACATCAGCCAATAGCTTTTGTCTTGTTGATCGACTCCCTCTTCCGCGAAGTTGATTCCTTTCCCTTACATCAGGATGATTCTTGGAGTCATCTTTCACAACTGAAGAAGAAGCATGGTCTTCAATGGAGTCCACCCCATTTGGTTTTTCATTAGAGCAAGAATCAGGATTGATTGAATCATTGTCTGGTTCAACTTCATCCAGATCTTCCCTTCCAGCACCATTTTGGGCTGCCTTCTTAGCCTTTTTCTTGATTTTCTTTTTCTGGTTCTTGGTGAGATCACCGTTTGAATTCTTAACTTCTTTAGAAGGCCCGGAGTCAGCTAAAAGATCTTTACTTGTTGAGAGGATGAGGGGTGTGCCTGATTTTGTTCGATCTCTTTCTGGATCAATCATGGATAGAAGTAAAATGTTTTCTGGTTTAAGATCAGTGTGTATAATGGAAAGCTGGCGATGTAAGTAATCCAATCCCCCTAAAATGTGGAAGCAGATTTCTTTAACCTTGTGGAGAGGGACTCCTCGGTAATCTGAATACTTGATTAATGTCAGGAGGTTATCACCCAAATACTCAAAAACCATACAAACATGCTGTCCATTTGGTCCTGAGTGTTTGAAATGATCCAAAAGCTTCACAACAGACTTTTGATCATCTGGATCCCCCTCAGCTATCTGCTTCAATATAGTGATTTCATCCATTGCTGCCTCGGTGTAGTGTTGAGCACTTTTTTGAACTTTTAAAGCTACATATCTCTACAAACCAAATCCAGGTTTTAATTCGTCAATTAGAAAACATCAAGCGATCATAAACAACATAACAGGTAATTTCAGAGCTCAAATTATCAAAACCAATCCTCAAACAGCTAATTTCAGAGCTCAAATTAAACTAATTAGCTTTAAAAGTTTATTCTCTCTGTACTAATATATCTCGAATGAAAAGCTTGAGAATCTTTGTAATGCAAACAAGCAAGTTATCTAAAGTAGAGTTTGGTATAGTTGAGAGAAGGAGGAAGTAGTATTAGAATAGAAAACAATTTTGTCCAGAATCAACGAAACCATTGATACTGACTAACGGAAACTCAGGTACAACGCAAGAAGTAGAAGACATACCGATTTCTGCGTGTCCCAAGCGAGCCAAACGGTGGAAAAATGACCCCAACCGAGCTTGCTCTGAACAATATATCTCGAATGCTTAAATTTATCACCAATACGAACAGCATGATAACCTCCGCGCCTGTAATCCTCCGTCCCTTCGTCCTCAGATGAGTAATCACTCGTCTCGCTCCGATCGTCTCCAGTGCCGCCGTTTCTTCTATTATTATCTTCCGCCATCGAACAGAACACAGCTGTACGAGTAGAAGCTCCAAAAACGGACGAAATCAAAGCTTCCAGACAACCCGATTGCGATCGATCTGATATTGGAACCCTAAAAATGAAGAGAGTGTCTCGAACCTTGAAAGTTGAAACTAGGGTTTCTACTTGCCCCCTGGTCTTTGTGTTCTAGTTTCTTCTTTTTGTTCTCGTGTAGATAGAAGATTAGTTTCGTTTATAATTTCTTTACAAAATAATCATTTTGACAAACATTCGACAAAATAATAAATCATGATTATTTTTTTGTGCGAGTGTATCAATTTTTATTAAATATCTTCTAATCAAAGATTTTATTTTAATAATTAAAATAAACATAATAATGTTCAGTTCTATGTAATTTGGGATACTGAAAACATGACCGTTTACCCAATTTTTTTCCATTAGTTTCTATTGAATGATTGTGGATCTTGCTCAAACCTTTAAAAGAAATTTAAATGATTTAAATAGAATGATTTTAAAACTTGATTATTAATTGGCGATCAAGTAATTCCAAATCTTTATATTATTAAAATTAAAATAAAAACTGAATAATTGAGCCTCTTAAATATCTACATATAATCTTTAATGTTTTTTTTTCTAAAATTTTATTGAAATAGTATAATATTAATCCATGGTTGTAATCAATTTGCACATTCTTTCCTTTTCATTTTATCCGTAGGTCTTGAAAATTAGGTAAAAAGATGCATAAGTATCATTTATGTTCGTTGGTACTCGATTAGTTTAAAACGTGAAGAGTAGAATTAACGTAAGAGAACAACCTCTTTATCAATTTCATAACATTTGTTCATTTAACATTAGATTTGTTTTTAGTTATTTTATTTGAGCTTATTTTTTAATTAAATTATATTTATAAATATATGAATTATAAATGAAACATCTTGATTTTGGATATTTTTTATATAACAAATCATTAAGTGAAATCATATTTTATATGATGAAAATATTGTATAGTTTATCATCATATATCGATACAGATGATATCGGACAAAAAAATGGATTGTGAATTTTTTGTGATAACTCTCAACTCATTAATCCATTTTATCAACTAAAACAACACAATCAAGAGGAATCAAATTACTTGGTGTCTTTTCTTCAAACATGCATTCACAAACTCATGTACGTATGGTTCTTCTTGAAGTATATCATCCATTTCTTGTGTTTCCAACTCAGCTTCCACGGAAGATCTAGAGACAACGTCTTGTTTCTTGCTCTTCCATGAAATTAGGGACTCTCCAAGAAACACGCAAAATCCGGTGGTGGATTTACGATCATGAAGATCACCCTCTCAATCAACATCACTGTAGGCACTAGGCACGTAACTCAATAGATGAAGTCGAGGGAAACAATAGGGTCTGGAACTGAGTGTCACAAAGATATCTCATAATACGGAGTACAGCCCCCCAATGAATAGAGGTAGGAGCGGTAACAAACCGACTGACAACATGAACAGCACGAGCAATATCCGGACGATTAACTGTGAGATAAACCAAACTTCCCACAACAGTCCAGTTAAGATTCGAATCGGACAAAGGAACACCATCAATAGGAGAGTACTGTGCATTGGTTTCAAGAGGATTATCTACAGTCCGATTTTCAGAGAGGCATGCTCGTGTAAATAAGTCAGATATATATTTAGTATGAGAAAGGAGATACCCTTTCTTAGACTGAGCTACCTCAATACCCAAGAAATAACGCAACAAGCCTGAATCCTTCGTAGAAAATCGATGAGCTAGATCATTTTTCAAAGACTCAATACCACCATGGTCATCACCAGTAATAATTATGTCATCCACATATAAGGACAAAAGAATCCGTCATGCACTCGTGCATTTAATAAACAGAGTCGAATCATGATTACTCTGGACAAATCCAAGATAGGTAATCACTTAGGAAAATTTCTCAAACCCAAGCATGAGGTGCTTGCTTGAGACCATAAAAAGCTTTACGAAGCCGAAAAACCTCACCCGGCTGGTGTTGAATTCCTCGAGGGAGAGATATATAGTGTAACGTCCGCAGATCCGGGCTGGTCAATTTAGAGACAATAAGCATCAAAAATTAGTTTTTGATGGAAGATTATTTATAAGGATTAATCTTTTCCAAGTGGTAGTATATGTTACAAGGGTTCCGTACATATAAAGAACGCCGAAATCCGACTTATAACGAAGAAGTTATGACATGTCGAAGTTTTTCGGCAAAACCGACATGACACCGGGAGACGTAAATAGCGAATTTACGATGGAGGACTTTTTAGCCTTAGAAATCTAAACAAAATTTGTAGTATACGTTAAACCGAGAACATACAAAAAAAGAACGCCCAAATCTGACTTCGTATGAGGAAGTTATGAATTTTCTAAGATTTGGCATAGCAGTGCACGACCCGAAACTTGAATTTTAGATTGAGTGGTTTTTGGCATACGCGGCCTAAATGAGAGTTGAAGATCTCATTAATAGGAACTCAACGATAAAAAGACAGACGAAAACGGAGACCGTATGTAGAAGTTATGAATTTTACGCGGACATTTAACAATATAATCTCCTCGTACTGTTAAATTTAAGATCAGTCGAGAAATAGCCGACGGAGTCAAAATAAAACTTGTATATCTTATTTTTACCTACGCGTGGATATAAAGAACGTCAAAAACGGAGCTCGTATGCGAAAGTTATGAATTTTTGAAAATCGGCTAATTTCCACCCTGTGTGCGATGCCACGTGTCAGCACCAGGCTGTGTCTGGTTGTCTCCAGCTGGCTCACGACGTGAGCATCAAGAAACTCACAACGTGAGTGACCCTCCATCCCCCCTATAAATAAGAGGTGAAGCCTCTATTCTTCCTCACACCTCCCATAACTTCCCTCTCTCTCTAGAACCTCTCTCTAGCCCCGAAACCCCCCGAAAAGCCTAGGGAACCTCCCTAGCACGAGGCGGAAGCCCCGGAGCGCCCGACGGCTCCGAGAAGAAGAGCTTTTCGGCTCGGAAACGCTGCTCCAGCGAAGCTCGGTTTTGAGAAAAACCTGTTGTAAGTGAGCTACGCCTAACCTATCTTTAGTATAGCTTATGTTTTAATATAGTAATGTTATTAGGACCTTATAATAAATATTTGGGCTATTATTATGATTTATATAAGTGTCGTTATAATGTCTTTTTAACCACTCGCGGTACGGGGAATCTGGTTTGGAGGGCCGCTTGGGTTGCTGGATTCAGAAGTGTTATATGCCAAAATGATCCTGCCCTCCGGTGTTCCATGTCTGGCCCCTGTCTGTACATAGTGGGTGAAGAGTATTATTTAACGCTTATATAATAGTAATAATAGTTAGACTATTAATTAGTCTCGATGAATATTAGACTAAACTCTAGTGGTAATGATACTAGGTTTCGTCGAAGGAAATCATATTTGTTAAGAAGTGAAGCGCTGCTCGAATATCGAGTCGTCACTTTAACAAGTGAGTGCATAGTTACTTTCATCTTACACATAGATATGAAGTATTTTAATATAAATTACGTGTTATGTGTGCATATTGTCTGAATACTTGCTGTCTATGCTGTGTAACACCGTAAATTTTCAAATAAATTTTTCATTTAAAAACACAATAAAACACATGCCACATTTTCTCAAAAATCACAAGTATCAATTTATCAACATATTTCAAAAGTTGTTTATCACACATCCAGGATCCTCCGATAATATATCTCTACTCAGATGTGTGTACAATCGAGCCGGCGCCTTCCCGCGATCCTGATAAGAACCTGGAACACATAACACATACACGGTAAGCACGAAGCTTAGTGAGTTCCCCAAAATACCACATACAACAATTTGCCACTCGAGGGTATACTCTGTAAAACCCTCTGGTCTACGTGTCTCAGCGGGACCCTCCGGTCTCGTAGCTCGTTGGACCCTCTGGTCCGGTCTAGCTCGTTGGACCCTCCGGTCCGGTCTGATTGAGAACCCTCTGGCCTCATAGTTCGTTGGACCCTTCGGTCTGGTCTAAGCAACAAACAATATATAGCATACAATACATATCACACAATCATGCATAACTCAAGCAAACACATAAGACCCTCTGGTCACACATAATTACCACTCTAGGTAAAGTATAGTGAGAAGACTCACCTGACAAGCAGGAAGTAAATAACCTCGCACCCGAATCTCGAACTAGCCTCCGCCTAACACAAGGGATGAATATCACTAATTAATACTCTTTTCACAATTCAAACAACCGAAGGCTATTCTTTCTCTTTCTAACTCTTTGAAGTGGATAAAAGACCATTTTACCCCTCCATGGTCCTTATTACTCATGTTGACCAGAACCCCCAGGGTCAACAGAAGTCAACACTCGAGTCAACAGTCCAAGTTTGACCCGACTCGTCGAGTGCACTCTTGCGACTCGTCGAGTCCCCCGTATCCTAAGAAGTCTCAAAAGTCTAGCTCAACTCGTCGAGTTGACCACCAACTCGTCGAGTTATCACTCTATCAAACCCATCGGGACAAACTCTCACCGACTCGTCGAGTCAGGCCATGGACTCGGCGAGTCCCTTCGATCAGATTCCTCATTCAAACGATTTAAGGCAGATCCATCACCCCAAACACTAGATCTACCATCCTAAGGGTCGATTGTCATGTAAAGTTGCAAGCTTTACGTTTAAACATGGCATATAAGGCTCATAATGCCAATATAACTCTAACAAGGATGATTAACCACAATAACTCTTCTATGGTTAATAAAGCTATAATCTTTGGACTCTCTGGACCTCACAAGGTCCAGATCTGAAGTCTAGGCCTCAAGAGAGACCTTATGCATACAAAGTCCCAACAATGGTGGAAGTAATCCTAATCTTCCATATTTACAAGATTTAAGCAAAATAACAAGAAAGGTGCAAGCTTTTACCTCTTACTCAAGCCCTTGCACGAAGTACACCAGATCCACTGATTCTCTAGCTCCCTTGATGGGTGATCTCCTCTTCTCCTCAAGAGATGCACTAGTCTACTCCAAGTTTTAGCTTCTAAGACTCTCATGGCTCTCTATACACGTTTAGGGTTTGCTCTCAAGGAAGGGTAGCCGCAAATGAGGCTATAAGTTCATTTAAATAGGTCCTAAACCCGAGAAATTAGGGTTTCTCTGCCCAGCACCTACTCGTTGAGTCAGCTCTCTGACTCGTCGAGTCCAATCATTAATCCCACGTGGACACTCGACTCTACTCGACGATTTG